GAGTGTACTAGAACCATCTGTTGTCTCAACTGCTGGAGGCACAGTTTGAAGTACATGATACGAGTTTTCGTCATTGTCTTCAAATACTAAAACAATAAAAATTAAAATCAAATTTGGGTATGTATATCTATATAAATATAGCAATATTTTACAATATCTCATTTATGAATTCAACGTTAAAGCGCCAGTGACTATCAAGGGTACAAGGGACACAATGCGCAGGGTCACCAACCGCTTCACTCGTCATGAGCGCTTGCCTAGGGCAGCAAGACGAGGGCAGTTGATACAATTCTAAATTAAAAGAATCTTTATGGCTAAATTACCTAAATAAAAACAATAAAGTTGTAAGTATATTTACGTGTTTGTTCTGTGAGTGAAACACTAGAACCATCGGTTGTCTCAACTGTTGGAGGCACAGATTGAAGTACATGATACGAATTTTCTTCATTTTCTTCAAGAACTAAAACAATAAAATTAAAATTAAATGCAGGTAGCACTAAGTTGCTCCAATATCTACCACGAGACCGCGCTAAATAACACCCCAGTACCTTTTTGTTGATAGTACAAGTTTGTACACTATACACCTGACAAAATTGGGTTTAATCCTTCAATTTAATCAAAAAAAAAAACCTCTACTCTGATATTTAAAATCTTCTAGAATGGTTCCATATTATAATCATCTAGAAAGTTACATTTAATACAAAAAAAAGCAGATAAGTAAGAAACACGTGAGTCGCGCCCGACACCCCGCCCCGCATAAATCGTTTGGAATGTCTTTTAGATTGATTGATCGAAAACGAATTATGAAAGTTGTGTTATGTTTGAATGTCACCTAGTAGTATTTTAAAATAATTAGATGTCTATTAATAAAAACATAAGTATGTACATACCTTGATTGTTTTGTTTGTATAGATCAAAAACCGCCGCAACCATCTTCTGTCCTCGCGATAAATTCATGATAATAATATTAACCACACACTGAATACTGATAAAATAATATATATATATTATAATATATGCACATCAATTGCTAGAAATCATAATGAACTCTCAATTATTTAAGTAGTTTATATTATTAATATAATAGATCATTATTGTTATTTTGCACAAATCACCGACTCACTATCAAAGCAAACTAAACAATGCACGCACAAACTCGTAGAAATACAGAATGTGGATTGGTTAACAGGAATAAACATGATTTTTCTCTGCCAATTAAAATGTTCCCAAATAAAATCGGGATTGGATAAAAAATGACATAACATACATAGATATTATGAAGACATAATTTTGGTGGTCAAGAGTTCTATGAGCTCTTACAACTATTGACCACTGAATTATTACTTTAACTATGACTTGTAACCTTGTCATCACAATAAATCTAAGCGGCATAGAATTTTTGACTCTTATTGAAACTACACTTAAATTTATTGGCAATTTAAAAAAAACCTGCTTACAGTTATGATATCAGTTACATGTATTGACTAATATAAACTATGGTTCTTTCTCAGTACGTTAATGCACTTAACTCCATTTCGCAAAAATTGTGGGTTAGCTCCATTGCCCTCCAAGGCGACGATATATGAAAATGGTAAATAAATTTAAAAAAAGTATACACAAAGCAGTGTTAATAAAGGCAAAAAAGTATAAATAAATCTTCAGTCCCACTGGTTTTATTATATTTTTTTAAATATGTCCTCCTATATTATATGGTTGAGCGGCGGGCCTAGGGGTTCCCGAGTTCGATTCCCAGGTCGAGCCTTGACCCTATTGTGCAAGATGTTTCTAGGTGGACTGTATACGCGGATGGCTTCTTATGCCTCAACAAGATGGCGGACGTGGCACGCGAAAACCATGGACAATGCACTCGCTCTTCCAAATCGATTGCTTCGACAAGGTTGGGAGGGAGTTCTACTTGAGCCGATAAGGAGAAAAAATGGGACGGGTTTGATAACAAACAAAAGGCTCAAGTAGGAGCAAAATTACAGGAAACACACTTACCGGGGGGTGATTCTGATGCTGCGGACAACGCTTCTGTTGCGGTGGTGCATTGAAAGAGTAGCTGGCGCAACGTGAGGTGGTTTCTTCTGGGGCGCACCAGAGATGCGATCCAGGCTAGCGGTGCAAAGCAAGAGGCCGCTCGAGGGCCATCGAACAAAATTAAAAGTACACAAATCATTTCTATTTCAAACTGTTTTAAAAAGTAAAAAAAAAACTTAATTTATCATAATTAAGATCGCACATTCTTTTTTCTTTAATGATAACTAAATTTCTTGTCAATCGAGGCATTTTGATTTCATATAAATAAACTAATTAAATATAAGTTAATGCTAAATACGAAGCGAATGACCTTGCTTGTTTGGTGGCGAACCGCGCGCTTTCTTTCGAACATCACGTGCGTTAGCCGTACGAGTGCGCTAGCTCGGTATGCAGAGTAATGAATAACAGAGAGAACATTGCTTACTTCTGCTACTAACTGAATTGTAAACTGTGTATTCTTGTGAGTTTTAAAAGATGTAATAATGCAGATTGCATAAATAATAAGGAAAAAAATAAATAAAAAGTCCCTGTTTGCCCAATAGTAGGGGTAGCTACTGTGTGTGTAAATTCTCACAAGACTACTTCGACCGATCAATCACTTAATACCCGTAGTATGTCGGTTTTTCTTAATTATGTACTTACCCCATATTTTCATATTTCTGACAATACATAGACTATGACATTATTTTCGGTCTCTTCTTGTGCTTCCACTACTCTGTATATTATTTTCCGACTCGATCGTGATATTTACATTTTTAGAGTTTCTTACTTCATCTCGCAGAAACGTATAAATAATCTGTTTTGCTAATGTAAATTAGTAAAATCCAGCCAATTAGGCAACCTCCAACAAAAAAGTACCGTAAAAGTTAGTAAAAATATAACCTCAAAGTGGAACGTACCACTTTCGAGGAGCGTTATTGCGATTAACTCTCTTTGTTTTACGACTTAAGTAATAATTATTTCTTTTCCTACGCTTATTCACGTGAATTTAAACGCGTGTAAACCCCTAAATTAACGATTTCCAATACAGACATAACTGACTCTTGTCACCCTACGCCACACATCGAAACGCCTGGTAATTTATGACGGCTAACTTTTATCTGGTAATATACAATATTATTACTAGGCGTTTGTAATTAAGACGAATTATGTTAATAAAAAAATTGTATCGCAAAAGGTCAGAAATTAAGAAGACATGCACCTTCGGAATAACAACACAAATATTTTAGCGTAAATTTTTTTCCTAAATTTTTAATAAAATTAAAAAAAATTACAGAGTTTTGGAAGAATAATAGTTTTGAGATATTATTTCTTAATACATTTTATAAATTGGTATATTGACTTATATTAAAATTTTAAAAAGGCAGACACCTTGTGAAGGAACCGAACAAACCTACAAAGTTTGTTTTAACGCTTAGAATTACTTCAGGTCAAAGTTCTAGTGAACAGAAATACATGAACTTTCGCCAGTTCTCTTCGTATTCGGCCTTAAAGAGAAAATATAAAATAATATGTTGTGTCGTGTAGGTGTTTTCTTTCTTGCCGTTACTAAGTGCCGTCCGCACATAAATGACGTGACAAATATTCACTCAAAGAAATATGTATAATGCATTTTTAAATAAAAGCGGTCTAGGTGCGACTCGAAAGGTCCACGCGACTAATTTCCCAGTGGAAAGAATAAAAAAATATCACATGTTTTAATATTTTATACAATTTTTCATTCGGCACAAAAAACGACTTGACCGATTTTGCTCAAAATTTAATGAGGTCTAAGTTACATATACATAATTATGCGTTAAATGAAACTGGCCCCATTTCAATGTCACTCGGTGTTCTCGAGATACACGAGGCGAAAATTGAATCCGAACATACATACATACGTACATGTTCACACACGGACATCTTAAAAACCATACTTTTCGTCTCTAAAGACTTTGAAACGTGGAGATATGTCAAAATTTCCAATTTGCAAAATTGAACCCATTACAATAACTTCCCATTCGGCATTTAATTAAATCATGCTTTAATTTTTACTACAAATTTCGTGCCATATTTCAGTTACATTAAGAAAACGTCTCAAATAACGTCTTGTCATCAAATAGTAGCTAATACCAGTAAATAAAGGTATAGAGCACATAAATTGAATATTATTAAGCATTTGAAATTTAAAGTTGAAGATTCATAAATGTAATAGAATAAAAGATCGTTTTTCGACAAACCTCTACCAACGGCCATCTAATTACGCACGTTAGTGTTACCTTAATTTTGATATTTTTAGCTAGTAATCTTACACCTTCAGAATCAATATTAATTAAGTACGTCAGAAACAAACGGTGGACTAAGTTTTAATAAGATGTACATTTAAGTTATTAATTAAAGAATTAGTTTTCACTATTTTCAACCGAATTCAAAAAAGATACCTAGAAAGTCATCTTTAAACAACTTGAACCAGTCTTTATTGTTAAAGTCGACGACGACAATGATAGTGAAAAACGAAAGTAATTAGATAGAGTACTACAGAAGAGTAATTGGATGGATTACACTTGGCTAGCTGCAAATATAATATAATAGTACATATTGGTGACGATAATAATCATGTTGATGATGTTGATATACTATTTTATAACAAATAAAGATTATGTTGCGTCTAAAACTGTTTAAATCTCTAAAGTATTGCGCTTTATACTTTTTGATTTAATTAAGTACTAACGAAACTAAATTACCGGAAGTGGTTACATCACTTATTAAGTTATGTTTATTATTGCTAGAGCCTCAATTTTTTAAGGTTGCATTGTTATAGTCTTCATTTGTAAATCAGTTTTATATCTATAATTTACAAATGCGTTTAAGTTACCATCCTTTATTATTTAACATTATTATTTAACACCGAATCAAAGTTTCTGTAGTACTTATCTGGCACTCGGATGATAAGGTGCTTAATTTCAGCTGGAGGTTAAAAAATGGAATCGTTACCGATGAACACTCTGCTCGAGTTTAATAAGGATACACTTCAAACTATTCGAAAGGATTACAATTTGGATAACCCAGGAATCATGGATCAAGCTATCGACGTTTTACAAGAGTGGGTGAAAAAACAAAATCATTTTGAAAAAAAATATTATCGTAAGTATTTTAAGAACATTTATATTTAAGAAATAATCAAAAATTTTATCCGGGTTGTTAAAATGAGTCCTCATTTATAGCATATTTTTAATTAGAATTAATATTTTTTCAGAGCAACATCAAATAACATTTAACATTTCGTATTTGTTAAAAAAAGCATGTAATAATATTGTAGTGTTAAATTTTAAGGACGAAATAATGAAAAATGACAACGTGTAGTAATGCTATTCGAAATTTAAGTAAAGGTTTGTTTTTAAAATGTTTTTTTTTACTATTACTTTATTTTTTATGTGTTAGTTATCGCTGGACATGTTTTTAAGTTTGTTTATTTCATTTAATGGCTCATTGTTGTTTTTTTTTTTTAATTTTTAGATCCGCCATCTCGATTATTTTATCGCCAGCAGTTGTCACTTGCCGGTTCATATAATATTTGTTAGAGCACCACCAAATTATTCCTAACCTTTGCCAAGTTACAACTTTTAAAATTGATATGGCGGTCATCTTGTTTTCCGCCATTTTGAATTTTTTTTCACCATCGCTAGAATTTGCACAGGATGCAGATCGATATTAGTTAAGACAGAACCCCGATAAGTCTTACAGTTTAGCCGTGCGGTGGTAACACCATCTTCTTGAAGAGATCACAAGCAGTATAACGGTTTTGGAGATAAATGGGAACATTCACTTGCACAAAAAATGTATATTGCAGCGCCCCCTGGCGATTTAATATCATAACACCTATCTAAGAACCGTCGCCGATAAGTCACATACCCTTTACAGAAAACAGTATCTGAATCACTATAACCGTTTTGGAGATAAATGGACACATTTGATTGCACAATAAATGTTTATTACAGTGCCCCCTGGCCAGCTAACATCATAACACCTATCTAAGAACCATCGCCGATGAGTCACATACCTTTCACATAAAACGGTATCTAAATCGTTATAATCGTTTTAGAGATAAATAGAAACATTCGTTTGCACAAAAAATGTTTTGCAGTGCCCCCTGGCAAGTTAATATCATGAAACCTACCTAGGAACCATTGCCGATGAGTCACAAACCCTTTACAGAAAACAGTATTTATATCGGTCCACCCATTTCGGAGATAAATGGGAACATTCGTTTGCACTCACAAACAAACAAACCATCTCTCATCCCAAATGCATATCAAAATGCATATTAATCTCCGTTCTGACGCGGGTAATAAAAAGGGTGCAAATTATAACAAAAAATAGGGATTTATTGATGGTAATAACATTACAAAGATGATATATTTTTTAACCTAGGAGTATGGTGAATTTTTTACTTCGACACATTCATTAGAGCTGATCGAGTAGCTGCCTATTTTTTCATCTCCATCAGCCGTAAGGTCCTCGACAGGGTACTACTACTCCCTTGTATGAGAGATCTGCCTTTATCGTATTACTACAAATTCCAATAGACTTTTTTTATTGCCAAGCCAACTGGCAATTGAAAAATTGCAAATCAAATGTGTAAACTAACTCGTATAAGTATTTCCTATTTTTGAGGCTACTCCCATTGCCACTAGGAGTATTTTACTTCTGTCAACTACTTGGGTTATACGTCCATATATCGGACCTTTAAATCTTTCTGGATTTCCCACAGCCATAAATAGTTAGTTAACGAGTAAGTTTACCTAAGACAAATAGTCCGACTAGATAAGTCTTATTAGATAAGTCCAACTTCGACAGTTACGTTAAATGGCGGACTCACTTCAGCTTTTTTTTTAGAGAAGAGGGGGCAAACGAGCACACGGTTCACCTGCTGTTAAGTGACTACCGCCGCCCATGAACATCCGCAACACCAGAGTAATTACAGGTGCGTTGCCGGCCCTTTAGAAAGGGGTAAGCTCTTTTCTTGGTAAGGTCCCCAGGTCGTATAGGTCCGGGAAAATCGCCGGTAGTAAGCTATTCACTTACGATACTTGGCAGCAGAGCTTCCACTTCACGCCGGTATTCTGTGAGGTCGTGGTACCACCCCGGTTTGAACGTATGGGCGTGCAACAGAAAAGCTGCCGCGTGGCTCTACCACTTGTGAAATGGTAGATAGCATTCCGGATATTACGATATATTTTCTCGTCAGGTATAAACTTAAAAACTTGAAAACAAGATTATAGAATTGGTGCATGTAGCCAGTGGTGACATATGGATATGGGCGTGGTACTTTACTGCTAGCCGTATGAATCAAGGTTTTAGGTGAACTTAGATTAAGATATGGTAGATATGGTTTCGGCAAAATTCTACTAAAAAAATGCTTTTTAAAGCGCTAAAATACTGCACGAAACTGCACCCTGCTATGTTTAACCCAAAAACAGTTGATAGCAGAAATAATTATATAAATAATATCAGACGTTATAGATATAAATCGACAGACAACTCAAGGTTGTGCGTTCTAATAGCAAGGGCAGCACCGATGCGTAAAACATATTTTGGCTCCGGCAATATACGAGTAAAATAAATTAATAACTAACAAAAAAAATGTAAGAAACATTTACGATGGTTATTGAATAAGAAATATTATTGCATACTTTTTAAAACGTATGCAAATGCAAATGCAAAGTTATAAACTTTTAACTATTAATGTTTTTAATTAATTTTCATTATTCAGTATTTTATAACATTATATTATTTTATTTAAACATATTATAAGTTGAAATTGTTTTAACCTCCTAAGACCCAAGGCATAAAAATACCATATGTTTGAAGTGCTTACCGCTCACAAGTGTGTGTGAGGACGAAAAAAAAACAAGTAGCACGTTTTCTACAGCCGTAATTTTTTTCACAGTGATGTTGTACAAATATAGATGACTTTTTAACTACCTAAATGTAGTATTATTATATTATTTTTATAGGAAATCGGGCAGCACTTGCATATGTAGATATCTTTAAACTGTGCTTTAAATATAGCTCTAGGCCGATAGCTATGAAAAAAGTAAAATGGAAGATATTAACGAACATACTTTTATTATCAATTAGAAGGAAAATACTTATAAAAATCACGTTACTCTTTTCATCAGACAGTGTAAAAAATTAAAACGAGGAAAACTGACATTCGAATAGACCTGAAATCTTATAAATAATAATATTCGAGTTAAACGATTCCCAGCTATAAGATCTGCAACCATAGCGTCTTGTTATCTTTTTTCCCAGAACATCTTCATGCAGGGTGTACTGGGAATAAAGCTTGCCATTATGAAACCTATTCCAAAATAAATAAATAAGCTTTCCTTTACTGATATTTAAGCAACGTCTACCATACGGAACAGAAAACTCATTAGTTTTTTCAACAATTAGATTTACTAGTTAATGATCCACATATTAGTGTTGAAAATAATACAGTGAGTTGTTAACATTTTTTGATAAGCAGACATAAGATTCCAAAAAACTTAGATCTCTAGAATTTTTTTCAAACCACAAGGTAGACGTAGAACTTGCTTGTAATAGAGCTACTAGTGCTTTATTTTTCACGTTTCCTCTTCCACGGAGCGTCCCTTGTATTAAATTTATATTTGAACCACGCCCGCGATATAATACAAGAATTATATGTAATGGGCTCTTTAGTTTCCGAGTCTGTACTGGCTTGTCTTCCTTACTTTTCTATCGCATCTTTCTTTCCAATCAACCGCAAAACAAAACTTATGGCGCCATCTGTTGGCCTATAACAAAAGCGTCTGTAAAAAAAGTTGACGCGATCGATACCCACATGTAATCATAACTCAAGACGAACTTCACCGATAATGGCTGTTCTTGTATAACTAAGCCTTCCAAGATAAAAATTGTAATAAGCATTAGTGAGTGTGGCGGGTTGACCCAAAGGTGTGCGTAGACTATATAATCACGTAGGAGTGTGGTCAAGGAAGAATGAAGCCTTCCACATCCGAAGATATTGTTGAAGCTAAGTTGGAGCTGATCGCCGCCGCCGCTAACCGTGAGTTTACCTATTCCATTTACCCTTCCTGGTAGGGCACACTAATTTTCTCTCACTGTAGCTAAATTAAGTAGCAATTCCAAAATAAGGTTCTAATTATTTTTATTTCAAGTAAGAAGTGTCGCGATTACTAAAAAAAAAGAAGAAGTTCAATCCGCGCATTTTTTATTCTAACCTTTGATCACAGTGGCCCGTATGAGCGCGAATGTCCTATGGTATTTTGGATTCAATTCATTCGAAAACTCCAAAATTACAGTTCATAGCAACTCAAATTAAAGAAAAAACTTTTACAAATAAAACTTAGGTAAAGTACTTATTTCATTGTAGTAATTTGAATGATATAATAAGAAGCAACTTACTAAATTTATTTGATATAACTTTAAAATTAGGCAGAATTATTCTCTGATATTGATTACATGAATTACTTTCGTAGTAACTAAACACGGAGGTACAATTATTTTACTAGTAGGTAAAAAAATTGTAACCAACAAACCACAAATTCAATACTGATCGTTGTTTTAAAAGGCGTAGCATATTATATATCTATCTATTAATAGTGACATTATTGGTTAGTTAAAAATTAAGTTTGTTTTAAATTTACGTTTGTATTATTTATAACTTCAAACATAATGAGAGATAAAACAAAGTCGAACGCTAGTGAATTTGAAAGACAACTCAAGTTGCTGACTATTCAAAGGGAATTTGCAATTAGAGAAATTCAAATACTATGTGATTTATGGAAGAATATCCAAACTAATACTACTTTTGCGTCCCAATTTGAGGCTAGGTTTAAGCGTATTGATTTAGTGCGTAAAGAATTCTTGGATAATACGAATCAAATATACGAGTTAAAGTAAAATTAAAGCCGGACGATATTATTGATATGAAGCCCGTGATTACGTTTGACGACATGTACTACACTGTCGCCGCCGCCTACTTTAAGCGGGGGTCGCACTCGGGCTGACCAGCAAACCCGCAATGCAACCCCGATCCGAGTTTGACTTCCGGATTATCATACCACAGTATGAAACCATACGCGTAAGCACGCTTA